GGGGCTGCAGGCCGAGAAGCGCCGGCTCAGGGACTCTTCTCCTTTCTTCACGTCCGCCCGGGCTTTCCCGGGAGAGTGGGGCGTTGTGGGTCCGGCTTCTCTCTCGAGCAGTCACCCCGCATACCCGGCCAGCAGCTGCGGACCCGGCCAGGGCGGACAGCGCAGGCCTCGGCTGGCCGCAGAGGGGCCGTGGCGCGGGCCGGAGGGGCGTGGTCTGTGGGAGGGGCGTGGTTGCAAATGGGGCGTGGCTGAGGTCGGCGGAGGGGCGTGGAGCGGGCGGGCAAAGGGGCTTGGCGCGGGCTGAGGGGGGCGTGGCGCGGGCGGGCGGAAGGGGCGCGGCGCAGGCGGAGGGGCGTGGCGCGGGCGGGCGGAGGGGGCGTGGCGCGGATGGCCCTCGTGGGCGGGGCTCCGCTCTGCCCAGCGCCAGCCGCCGCCGCCGCCGCCGCTGACGCCTGCGCCCGCCGCGCGGACTGAGGGAGACCGAGGGAGCCTGGGGGTCGCAGCCGCCTGCCGGGCCTGCGGTGGGCCAGGATGTCGGGCTTCCTGGAGGAGCTGCTGGGCGAGAAGCTGGTGACTGGCGGCGGCGAGGAGGTGGACGTGCACTCGCTGGGCGCCCGCGGCATCGCGCTGCTCGGGCTCTACTTCGGCTGCAGCCTGAGCGCCCCCTGCGCGCAGCTCAGCGCCAGCCTGGCCGCCTTCTACGGGCGCCTGCGGGGGGACGCGGCGGCCGGGCAGGGGCCGGGGCCGGGGGCGGGGGCCGGGGCGGCGGCGGAGCCCGAGCCGCGGCGGCGCCTGGAGATCGTCTTCGTGTCCTCGGACCAGGACCAGCGGCAGTGGCAGGACTTCGTGCGGGACATGCCGTGGCTGGCGCTGCCCTACAAGGAGAAGCACCGGAAGGTGAGCGGCCGGGCCTCGCCGCCCCTGCCCGCCCCCTCTCTGACCGCCCTCCCTGCTGTCCCCCGCCCTCCCCCACTGTCCACCGCCCCCGCCCCCCTGTACCCCCGCTCCCCGAACCCCACTGTCCCCTGCCCTCCCCCCGCTGACCCCTGCCCCCCAACCCCGCGCTGTGTCCGCGTCCTCATCCCCAGGACCAGTCTCTGGCTCGGGGGTCCCGCGGCAACTCCTCGATGCGGGCCCCCCTAGGCCCCTGGGATCGAGGCTCGAGCTCCCCAGCCCCCGTCCACACGCGCTGGGAGCCCCGGGTAGGGGTGGCTGCGCTCGGGGGTGCCGGTTCCGAGATCTCTTCACCCCCTAGCAGAGGTGCCGGGAGGGGTCCCTTCTTGCCTCCTCTGCCAACCCCCCGGGTCCCCACTGTGGGGAGGGGAGAGGAGGCCGCGCGCCCCCCTCCCGCAGTTCCCGGAGCGGGAAGTTTCCTCCCGAGACAAACCGCTTTCTCGGAGCCCCTTCCCGGGAACCAAGGGGCCGAGACCGAGGTCAGGCCGCCCCCAGCCCCGGAGAGGCCGCCGGTGACCGTGGCTGTGGCCGAGAAGGGCGTTCGCCCCTCGATTCCCCGCGTGCGCCCCTCGGCTCAGGCTGAGTTCGGGGCCCCGGGGGAGCTGCATTGTCTCGCGTCCCGCCGGCCTCTCCGGAGCCTTCGGGCGCGGGAACGCGGCGCGGCGCGGCGCGGCCCGGGGTGGGCCCTGTTGTCTCCGCGACCTTCGCATCATCGGGGCCCACCGCCTACGAGGAGGATTTGGGGGGACGCACGCTTGGCGTCTGCTCTCCCCGTCTCCCAGTTCGCTGCTGAGATTCGTTGGGGTCTGAGTGTCTCCCTCGGGTGCAGAGGTCTGTCTCTGTTATAGTACGACGCGTTCAGGACGTTTTGTGATGAATGGAGTCGGGAAAAGTTCTGGAGCGCTGTTGCTACTGAGTGTGGCTCATGCAACGTGTGGATCCAGCCCCTTCCCAGTTTGAGGAAAGCCCGTTTCTGGAGTGGACTGAGAGGCTACTCTGGGGGCGTTTAGCTTCCTCTGGGGAGCATGGTGAGGCTGCCACGTGTTCCTTTTATGTGAAGAGACTCTTGCTGAGAAGCAGGATTTACATTTGGTGGGAGCTGAAGCTTATACTGTGTGACCCCAGATGTCCTGAGGAAATCACCCATCCCGAAGCAGTGTAAGGTAGAGACTTGGGATTTACAGTGTGACATACAGTTTGTCTAGTGCGGTTTGTACATTTCACATGGGGAAAACACAGGCTCACGGCCCGTCCGAGGCAGGAGTTGGCATTTTAGCTGCTCTCTAGGTTGTCTTGCCCATTTTGATTGACGTGGTTGATAGATTATGAATATGCATGGCCACTACTTTTTGATTCAAAATATGGAATCCTTTGTTTTCCTTGGTAGTGGTTTTTATGATACTTTCGTGGGGAAATAATGTCCAGAAAGTGATTTACCAAAAAAATATTTTCATTGTTGGGGCAAGCTTCTGTTGTGAAGTCTATTTAAAATGGTGTCTGTATCGGGTGATACGAATGATTTCTAGCTTTTGAAAATATAGAGTGATGGTAAAATATTACAGGCTTAAGTCCTGTTGTGTTTTTTACTGAAGAGAAAATACATTTTTTGGTTAATAAAAATATGGAGCAAACAGATGTTTTGCAAATGCCTGAAGCTTTTTCCGAAAAAGAATATTTGATAGGCCGTGGCTGGTTCTCTATACCCTGGACAGGCTCTTTGCATGACAAAGAGTAATCTGTGGCCCTAGGCTGGACCTCTGATTCCTCCATGATAAGCTTCTGGATGGCGTGGGGCCGACTATCATTTGATATACAGTTCAGATGCTGGACGGCCCAAACCCTGGAGTGTTATTAGCATCTTAAACATGTATTTTTTTGCTCAAAGTTTTTCTGGCTCATGTCCTATACTTGATTCTCTAAATCCAGTCCAGTTTTCAAGGATGCAGTTTCTGCCCTGGGTGGTGAAGAAACCACTCAAGATCTGACCCCAGAAGCATTCTTATTCTTGGTGAGAGAGATACCAAGGAAAAAGACTCCAGCTGTCTTTCTTATGGAAAACATACTCTTGGAAATGACAAAAGCGGTGTACAGACTGTAAAAGGAAGTATTTTCCCCCCCTTGAAACCAAAGAAATGTGGAACAAATGCGTTTTCTGTAACTGAGTTATCGTCCCATTTGAAGTTAGGGTGTTTAGAAGCCGATGAGCTGGTGATGCTAATTTCACCGCCAGAGCAAGCGAAGGTGAGGGTACTGAACAGGTGAACACGTACCCCCATGTGAAGGCACTGAACGGGCAAACACGTGCCCCCCCAGGTGAGGGCACTGAACGGGTGAACACGAGCACGCCTTGTTGATGGACACTGATCATGCCGTTGCACCAACTATAAAAATAGCTTTAGAGAAGGGAATTTTGTTTTACACTGCAGGGAAACCAGAGTTCCAGATTGCTAATTTTTTTTTCAGTTCTCATTAACATTTGTTCTTTCCCATGGGGGTAACAAAGGATATGGTTCTCATTAGCTATTGGCTGGCATTTTTCTAAAGAAAATTGAAAAATTATGGTGGGTAAAGAAAATGTTGTGTGCTGTTTCTTTTTTTCTTTTATTAATCTCTCCTTTATGTAGTAAAAGAGTCTGGGATGGCCATGTACGCAAAGCCTGCATTTTGCCTGGTTCCTCTCACCTTGACTAGAGCTGAGAAAACACCAAAAGGGAAAAAAAAAATGACACCAAGTTTTCTGCTTCTGCCTGTTGTCGTGGTAGGCACAAAAGTAGTTGAAGCTTAATGTTTTCGGCTTCCAAAACGCACATTCGTATGTAGCTGTGCAGAAGCTGTAATTAGGTGATACTAGAACTTTGAGTGCGTTATAAGAATGGTTTTTATCAGCAAATGTATAATCTTGAAGTGAAGGCAGTTAGACATGTTTTACAAAGTAGGTTGGTAGATGGCTTTCAGATTTCTAAAGAGAAAGAAGGTATTGGGTGGTTGGGAGGGGTGAAATTTGGACTTTGGGGATTTGGTCTGTCCCTCTGACTTTGTGTGTGTTGCTCAGTCGTCAAGACTGGAGAGGTCCGTCTGCAGCGTCACAGACGTGAGCACTGATTTTGGTTTTAAAGTCACAGAGCTCAGCTTTGTGTGGGCTGGATCAAAAACACATGGTCGGTGTGGGTGCGCCAACACCCGAGGGTGCAGACCACTGGCCTTCCTCTGGATGGTTTTGTGAGGCTCTGGTGTCGGCCCAGGACTTTTGGCATGACAAGGGGAAGAGAAAGTCTGCAGAGTTAGGGGACCCTGCTCCAGCATCCCTAGTCAGCCTACTCCAGCTGGGGAAGTGGAGTCTCCCTCTGGCTGCTCTGGGTGGTCCCTTCAGTTCAGATTAAATGAGAGGCTTGGCTGAGAATTCACCTGCATCCCTTCGGCTCCCTGGGTGGGGCAGGACTTGGTAGCAACCTCCAGGCTTCCAACTCCGCTCTCACACGCTTCCTTGAATGCAAACACTGTAGCCAGGAAGGGAACAGTTTCTACCACAGCACTGTGTCTTTTCTCTGTATTCACTTTCAAGGTGGTAAAAGATGGCAGAAAAGTGCAGTCTTGAAAATTAGGATTTTCTGCTTTCTTCATAAGGAGCCTGGACAGCCAGGACAGGCTCCCGCTGGTGACTGTGTTTCTGGAACCTGGGTCAGTGTATTAGTAATAAAAGATAACAGTCCAGTGAAGAGCAGGCCAGGCGTGACACCTCACACCTGTAAGCCAGCACTTTGGGAGGCCAAGTTGGGAGGATCACTTGAGCCTAGGAGTTCGAGACCAGCCTGGGCAACATAGTAAAACATTATCTCTACAAAAAATAAAAATTAGCTTGTCATGGTGTTGTGTACCTGTGGTCTCAGCTACTTGGGAGGCTGAGGCAGGAAGATGGCTGAACCCAGGAGGTTGAGGCTGCAGTGAGCCATGCTTGAGGCTCTGCACTGGAGCCGGGGCAACAGTGCAAGATGCAATCCTAAATGAATAAATAAATAAATAAAATAAAGTCATAAGAGCAATGTTCCTTGAGAGTCTTTTCCTTGTTCCATTATTTGTCATGTATTTTTTAAACATCGTTTTTTCCTCTGCATAATAAGGCAGTCTAATATACAGCTAAAAATGCAGATTCTTTTGTCTTCTGTTTGAGTTCACACCCCTGCTCTGGCATGTATTAGCTGTGTGTCCTTGCGCAAGGCGCCGACACCTCTGTGCCACGGGTTCCTTTTCCATTTGTAAAGGAGACATGATAATAGCATCTGCCTTGTGTAAAAGTTGCATGAGATAATACCCACGTGCCTGGCATATAGTGAGTGCTCAATAAATGCTGTTATTTAATATAAATGCTCATTAAGTCGTTCATTTCATAGCTTGAACCTTTGGAGTGTATCACATCACAGAACTGCAAAACTGTCACAAGGCGTATTAAACTTTTCAAGCCAGTGACTTACAAGCATACAAGGGGATTTCATGAAGGATTCAAAAAAATTGCCCTAGAATGGCCTGGTGCAGTGGCTCACGCCCGTAATCCTGGCACTTTGGGAGGCCAAGACGGGGGATCACCTGAGGTCAGGAGTTCGAGACCAGCCTGGCCAAGGTGGCAAAACCTCATCTCTACTAAAAATACAAAATAACTGGATGTGGTGGAGCACGCCTGTGTTCCCAGCTACTTGGGAGGCTGAGGCAGGCGAATTCCTTGGACCCCAGACGACAGAGCGAGACTCTGTCTTGGGAAAAAGAAAAATAAAAAAAATTGCCTCACAAGAGATTATAACTGAGAAGAAAGACCTAGAAGAATGAAAGAACAAAAGCGAATGAAAATGGAATAAAGATGTTCCTTACAGCTCTGGGTATTACTGGTATTTACTGAGCTCTGTGTTGATACCTGCCAGTGACGCTCCAGACTGCTGCTGATCAGTACAGCCTGAGGAAGATTTAAGTTACCCTTCAGTTACCATTTAAGTAACTCAAAGATGATCAGGCATTCTTCTTGAGAGAAATCATATACAGAGCAGTCATTTTGTGGTTTCCCAAAGCTATTAGGTGTGTCTTCTGCTCACCTGTTTGCTTAACTGGGCCGCTCAGAAGTTGAAGGATAACTCCTCTTTCGCGTGGGAAATGGAGGGTGCCCGTCTCCGGAGCAGTGGAAACCCCACCTCGAGCCTGGGCCTGCCTCCCTTCCCAGCTCCGGAATGCTGCGGGAGAGGTTTGCTCAGACATGTAGGGATTGCAGGTTTGGCTCTCTTCTCCCAGTTAGTAACTCAGTCCTGACTCTGGGTAGCTGTCCACAGCAATTGCTAATTAATTTGTCTTCTGATACGGGTTGGGATGGGAACCAGAGCACAGAGGCAGCCACTGGAAGTTATGGTCACTGATTTGATTCTCCTTTTAAAAAAATTCCTGGCTGGGCGAGGTGGCGCACACTTGTAATCCCAGGACTTTGGGAGGCTGAAAGGGGTGCATCACCTGAGGTCGGGAGTTCGAGACCAGTCTGGCCAACATAGAGAAACAGTGTCTCTACTAAAAATACGAAAAAAACCCAGGTGTGGTGGCGCCCGCCTGTAATCCTAGCTACTCGGGAGGCTGCAACAGAAGAATTGCTTGAAACCGGGAGGCGGAGGTTTTGGTGAGCTGAGATTGCGCCATTGCACTCCAGCCTAGGCAACAAGAGAGAAACTCCATCTCAAAAAAAAAAAAAAAAAAAAGAGTCTCATATCTGCAGACCTATCATGCCATCCTTTAATATTTAATTGTTTGCATTTCTCTAGCGTCTTTCTTCCACAGAACTCAAAATGCATGTATGTTACATCTTGCAGCAACTAATAATCAGTAGGTATTCACCATTCTAACTTTTCAAAGTATGTTAGAGTTGAGAAATTGAAGCCAAGAGAACCGATGATGAGATCAGAGTCACAGTGCTGGAGGAAAGCACTTGGCTGAACTCCCTTAAATTCAGCTTGGTTGGCCGGGTGCGGTGGCTCACGCTGGTAATCCCAGCACTTTGGGAGGCCGAGGTGGCTGGATCACAAGGTCAGGAGTTCAAGACCAGCCTGGCCAAGATGGTGAAACCCCGTCTCTACTGAAAATTAGTACAAAAAAAATTAGCCAGGTGTGCTGGCGGGTGCCTGTAGTCCCAGCTATTTGGGAGGCTGAGGCAGAGAATCACTTGACCCCAGGAGGCGGAGGTTGCAGTGAGCCGAGATCACGCTGTTGCACTCCAGCCTGGGTGGCAGAGCAAGACTCCGTCTCAAAAAAAAAAAAAAAATTCAACTTGGTCCTTTCTGTTCATGAAATTGTATCTTAAGAAATATTCACATCAAACGTTCTGTGTGGAAGAGGAGGGAGCTGTGAGTTTGCTTCAGACAGCTTTCTAGGTGTGCAGCGACCACTCTGAAGTGAGACAGAGATAGTTTAACGGCTTGAAACATTGTCTGGTTGCTTGGAAGGCGGGAGAGCCAGACCTCTTTTCTGTTCTGCCTGTTTTTTTTTTAAAGGTCTTTTTAATGATGTGGCTTTTTTTAGTCAGTGACGTGGCCCCAACTCCCCCTTCATCCTGTGCGAAGCCTGCGGGCAGCCCTCGTGCTTTTTCTTCAAAGACAAAATTGAACTTCAGGTATCCTGCCGAGATCTGAGGACTAAATCAGAACTCCCTTTTATGAGGTTTGCAAAAACTGCTGTTCTGACTCCTTCTGACTTCCAGTGAAATCTCAAAAATGTGCTTTCTGCTTCGTGACGAGAAGGAAGTCTAGTAATTGAAAGTTGCCCCAGTGCTGTTACTCGGGACTGAAACCCGTCATGGAAACTTGGGGGCCGTGGCGTCTGTGATTAAAAGCAAACGTAAATTTTCTGCGGCTTGCTGGTTGTAACTCTTGCGCCACACACACAGTGTATTTTTGTATGAACTACATGAGAAAATCCTTTTAAAGAAACAATGTAAGCTTCACTTCATCTCTCCCTTCCATCAAATCCGTCAGCCTCTCCCCCGCTCACTGTGGTGTTTCAATACAGGCACCAGATGCAGGTAAATTCAAGTGAAGTTTCTGCAGTTAATGATGGTTTTATTTTAGATCATGGTTGAATAGTCACAGAACAGGGTGTGGTGAGTTTTGCTGTCCAAGGGATAGGGTTTCCTCTTTGTTT